TGGGGTTATATTGCTGAACCAGCAAAAAATGGTTGTTTTGGTTTTAAAAACAATCGTTGTCCATGGCCAAAAGGAAAAGGCATGGGAGGTTCATCAATAATAAATGCCATGTTTTACACAAGAGGAAAAAAAGAAGATTACGATACAATTGCAGCATTGGGAAATGATGGTTGGGCTTACAATGATGTATTGCCTTATTTTTTGAAATCTGAGAACAATTCTATACCAGAATATCAAAACTCACCATTCCATTCACAAAAAGGAAATGTACATGTTGAACGAGTAAGATATCATTCACCACTCGTAGATAAATTTATAGAAGCTGGTGGAGAATTAGGATTAAAAAAAAATATTGACTATACAATTGATCCGGAATATGGAGTATCTCGTTTGCAAGTCACAACTCTAAATGGACATCGAGTAAGTACATTTATTGACAACAGAATTAACTAATTATAAAAATAACAAACATAGTCTTTTGTTAACCTTATCAGAAAAAGTAATAGCAAAATAAATATATATTAAGCTTATATGTTCTGAACCAAAAATTATTCAGGAAGGAGCAGAAGTTTTTAAGAACTATCACTCTTACCATTTAACTCATCTCTTAATTAAAATATAATCCCAAAAATATATTCTATATTATTTTAATTTATTTTGAGGTGAATAATAAAAAAATAACATGTAAAAGTTGGCCTAAAAATAAAATAACAATATTTAAAGTATATAAATGTTTTATTCTTAAAATTTAAAAAACATTCCAAAATATGCTAAAGAAACTGAATAATCAATAATACCTAAAATATTCTCACTCAATAAAAAACAAAAAAAATAATATTTTTCTGAAAACAATATTTTGAACAAATCATGCACATATTTTACTAGTATCAAATGTCATACACATGTTTAGTAATGTCGTAAAGAAACCTAAAATTTTGTAACCTAGTTATTTCTGTAAATCAACACATTTTTTTTTTTTTTGTTTTGATTAATAATTAATCTAATTAAACTAATTATTAGTTTAAAATCTTGATTTTAAGTTGTTAAACTACAATTTTTGCTCTGGTAAAATGTATTATTCTTATGTTGCATACATACTTATCATATAATTCTATACATAGTTATGTTGACCAGCATTAGATTTTACTATTTTCTATGTATTTATATTTATGTTCACATAAAGATTTACCTAGATAGTAATTTTAATTAATAAACATTAATCTGTAAATTAAATTTAACAGTAAAAAAAAAATTATTAGATTGGGAAAACAAAAATAAAAATTAGAATTTATGTTAAAATATTAGATAAACTAATAATAAATTATTCACAAATCTGTTATAATTTAAAATTTATGTATAATGTCATAAAGTTAATTATTAATATTTTGTGATAAAAAATCAGAATGATGTTAATTCATTTAAATAAACTATACATTTTTTAACAACATAACTCAAAATAATAATAATAATCAAAAAAAATAAATAAAATATTAGTCATTGAGATTAAAGGTTCTCAAACTTTTTTTTCGTATACCACTTATTTTCATTATGGATTGATTACATACTAATGATGATTAAAAATAGAACAACTAAAAACGTCAAAATATAATAGAGTAACAAAATTTTTTTTATACTGTAAAATTTTAAATTATCTATCTCCTATATTGACAATACATAAGTTCTTTTTCTGAAAATTAATAATAATATTTTAGGTAATAGATCCACCAAAACTATCAATTAATAAAAAAAAAAAAAAAATTTGATTGTTTTATTTTACTATAGGAGTAGTGTTTAGTAGCTCCGTGACAGACAATGCTGACTGAATATCGGGATTTTTTCCAATGAGTAACACAATGTGTACAGTGTAGAAGGCTATGCATATAAATAATAGAGGCATTCCTACTTATAGTTGTAGAAAAAATATATTAAATAATATTTATTTTGAAGACATTATTAACATTGTTAATAATAAAAGTATATATTATATGCAAAATATAAATTATTTTATTTGGTAATTACTAATTTGAGGGTAACATATTTTAGAGAACTTAAAAACAAGTATGCATTTATACCCTAAAAGAATCACTAAATACATCAGAAATGAAGGAAATATGAAATGAGAACCTTTAATTTAAACTTTAATTAAAAATTTAAGCATATTTTTATTTAATTAAATAGTTTATAATGTTAACTTAATATCTATTATGTAGGTATCTAGTATCTACTAGATATCAATTTCTAAGACTCATAAATTAAAATCCTATAAACTAAACACAGATACAATTTTAATTCTTAAAAATTATAAACTATGTACTTGTTTTTACATATATTGTTTTCTGTTGAATAATTAATTTTTGTTTTATAGGTAAGTGCATCTAAAGCCTATATTCGCCCAGCTAAAAATCGTCAAAATCTCCATGTGGCTATATTCAGTCAAGTAACAAAAATACTTATTGATCCAAAAACTAAAAAGACAATTGGAGTAGAATTTATTAAAAAAGGAAAACATAGAACAGTATATACTAAAAAAGAAGTTATTTTATCTGCAGGTGCAATAAACTCTCCAAAACTACTAATGTTATCCGGAATTGGACCAAAAGATCACTTAAATAATCTTGATATACCAGTAATCCAAGATTTACCAGTAGGACAAAATTTACAAGAACACTACGGCACACTTGGTATAATCACATTATTATTTTATTCACATGCTAGTTTAATTTTTAAATAATTTTTTGAATTTATTTATATAAAAATTAGTGATGGTCATAATTGAGATATATAATCGAGATATTTCGATTATGAATAAAATAATTGAATTGTTCTCGAGATCTCGAAATACCTAATTGGAATGCTTTCAATTATTGACTGTCAGGCAAATATTACTAATTTATTTACTGAATAATAATTGAATTACAATATTTTAATCTAAAAAAATTTATACATAAACTATACAATACAATATAGACATAACACATTACAATTTCTAATGTTATAGTACATTATAACTAGGGACCGGATTTATATGCAAATGCATATTAGAATAAGATTTTTGAAATCTGATGAAAATTGTCCTGATTTAGATCATTCTTATTAAAAGAACATTAATTTTATTTTGCATATTTCAACTATTTTACCTATTAAATGCATATTTAATGCATATTAGTAGTTTGATAATGCTTATTATTATTTATAACATATATTTGTTTGTATTTTTACGTGTACAGCCACATAATATCGATAAAATAAGACCAGTCGTTATTGTTACAGATAAGATGACATACTCATATGCAACATAATATAGATCAATTTTTGTTTTAATTTTTTATTAATGTGGGCTAATATTTTATAGATTGAAGATAAAGAATATTCAATGATGAAGATGACGAAATACTTTTTTATACTTTTAAAACTTCTTTTAATAATTAATTATTATTTATTTTTTTACATTATTTTCAATTCAATTTTTAGTGCATATAAATCCAGTTCCTAATAGATATAACAATGTTTACTTCAGCTTAAACTGTTTATTTTTAATCATTTCTACATTCATCAATCCATTAAAAATTATGTCCATCGCTATTAAATATTAATAGATAGTTATTAATTTATTATCATTTCTAAACTAAAATTTAATAATATTACACCAACAAATGAAAAAACAAAATTATATTATTTATTTATTATAGAGTATATTATGTATATTCATATTTGAATATTTTGATTCTCTCAATTATTAAAATCATTCAATTATGCCCTTCAGTAGTAAAAATTAAACAATTATTCTTATTATAAAAATGATGAATATATAAGCCATATGCACTTGAACAAATTCAAAAAATTATTTGTACTCACTTAAATCGGGTTAACAAATAACATTTTTTTAATAACTTTTAATATTAGTTAATTATCTATCTTAATAGGATAGTATAGAAGTTAAATGATAAAAGTATTTATGAGCCTGTATACGTTTAAAATATATAATTAGGTGAAAATTCAAGTATTAATTTAATTTTTGGTACTAAAATTTTTCATTAAAACCTATAAAAGCTTTTAGTTATGACTGAAAAGTTAAAATTTAAACTTTTTATTTCCTGTAGGTTCTTAATTTTGTATGATAATATCCAACAAACACAAGTATCCAAAGTAAAAAAACCTGAGTAATTTAATGTTTTGTAAGAAGTCACAAAATAATTGTGAACAAATTTTTCTTATTTATAATGAAAATTTAAAAATAGTAAAATACCAATATGTTAAAAAAATTTGAAATTCATTGAGTTTTTTTTTTCTTGGAGAATTAACTACACTTAAATTTAAAATATTGTATTTTTTTTTTTTTTGTTTTTAGCATTGGAATTTTTAGTAAATCAAACAAATCCATCACTCAACAAGCAAACTATATCAAATATTTATTTATTTGAAGAATGGTTTAAATATGGCCAAGGACCACTTACAGCACCAAATGGAGCAGACGGTTTAGGTTATATAAGATCACCATCTGGTAGAGATATTGAGCTAATATTTGCTCCTTTGTCAGAAAAACCAAATGCATTTCTCATGGCTACTTTGTTGTTACAACCAGATGCTCGTGGAAATGTAACTTTGAAAAATAATAACTCATTGCATCCACCTATTATGTCTTATGGTTATTATGACAGTAATACTGATCTAGAAGACAATGTATATGCACTTAAATATGCAGTAAAATTAGTAGAAGAAACACAAGCATTTAAAGATGTTGCAGCCAAACTAAACCCAGAACCATATTCAAAATGCAGTCACACAGTATTTAGATCAGATGATTATTGGGAGTGTTTATCAAAACATTTGACACATAATTATCATCACCAATGTGGTACATGCAGAATGGGTGATGTTGTCAACAACGAATTACAAGTCTTCGGTATTCAAGGATTAAGAGTAGTAGACAGTTCAGTACTTCCACATATTCCTAGTGCACATCTTTATGCTCCTACTTTAATGATTGGGGAAAAAGCGGCAGACATGATTCACAATTATTGGTCATAGTCATAGACGAATTCAATAAACTATTTATTTATTTATCTAATTATACTACAAATATTATTATACTTAATGTCAATATAAATACAAGTACATGCAAATGTTATCACTTACCAGAAACAATTAGAGCTTTGTTAGGTCCAACAGTATGTATTTGTCCCATTTTTGTATATTTAATAAATGTTTTAAGTTTCTTTACTTACAATTATAAATATAATAATTTTATATGTATAGAAAAGAATTACGTGATTTTATTTAATCTCACAGTCAACTTTTGATCTTTGATTAGTATTCGCTACTATTATTTCACACAAAAACGAATGATTATTATTCGTAATAGTGACTCAACTAAACTGAATGTAAAAAATATCAAATAAATAATACAATAATCACATATTTTTCAGAGATTAAAAATATATTGTACAAAATTGTCGTTTGTGTTTTCGGTAATAAAAAAATAGAGATTAATTATTATTTAACACATATTGCCATAGATATGCATATCGCTGAATAGTTATTGATATTTTAAAATAAGTACTAAGTAGTAAGAAGTAGATAACAATATTAAATTGGAATGTTATAAATGTTTATTCAAACATTTAAGCTGACGCCGAACTATTCAGTGGTACTGCATATGAAATATAATACCACAGATTAAATAAAACATTTTTGAAATCTGAATTTATGGTACCACTGTACATGCTGATAAATGGCGTAGAAGATAAGACTATTTGGCAAATGGCAATATCACCAATTGTTATATTCTGTGATATCACTGATATCACCCTAAGCACTAAGCAGTCTTGTAGAGTACCTATTCGAATGAATGCTTTCAAATTTCAAGTAAAACTAATTGAATACTTTTTTGTGTTCGAATATTATTTTAAATACATTTTTGAAAAATTATTTAAATACGTATTCTGAATACTTTTATTTGTATTTTTTTATCCATTAATAAATACCTACTTTTTTTTGAACCTGAAAAATAGTTTTTAATTTATATATCTTACAAGACATTTTTCTATTGTTAATAGGCATATTATAAGTTATGAATATTAGTTTTATTCAATAAACGAAAAATAATGCAATAAACAATTGTTAATTCTAACCATTCCAAAACTGACAAAAATTGCCAGAAAAAAAAGTATTCTTATAGTATTCAAATACTTTTTCAAATATTCGAATATATATTCTGAATACTTTAATTCTCATTTATTCCATTATGTATTCCGATTACAAAATAAAAGTATTGTTTACAAGACTGTCCCTAAGTGGCCTAAGTAGATATATAAAATATTTAGTAATTAGTAGGTAAGTAATAATTATAGATATGTATTATGCTTGTACAGTAATTGTCAATTTTCAATTATCATCATGCCGTTTTCTAAAAAAACAAAATATGATAACCTTGATAGGTAAAATAACGTTATTTTCATTTAAAATGTTAAAAAATTTAAATGCATTGCTTTCTTGTAGACAAATTATAATAACCACAATTTGTGAGTGTTTAATATATGTACTAATAGAAGAGAACCTGGTCGGTAAAAAAAAAACCTCTGGGAAAATTGCAGTCTCTGCATGCGGAGAAAAAACCAGAGGTTCCATAGAAAATAGCAGCAGAAGATAGAGATGTATGGAGAGGAGAAATTTATTTAGTACCATTGGCGGTTTGATCAAAAATCAGGAGAAAAAAAATAATACACTCATTAGTTATATTACAATGTTATGATGATTGAAGGTCACTTTTTGAAGTCAACATATAAAAAAATGTCATTATCAGAATTTTACTATGTACGTCTTATTGTATACAAAGTTACACTAATGCTTACCTATATTATATAATATAGACATCTGTAATTATAATGGTATATTTGTGTGTCCTTACATAAAAAAACCATTCTATATCCACTCGGACTACCCATCGACCACAATCCGGAGCTCTATATAACTGCATTCTTCCTACGTATGACACAGTCTGTGGTCATGTGCATCGAGTGGTACAATATAAATATATGCAAATATTTTGTATTATCAATTAATAAAAATATTCATTTACGTATTTTCAGTAAGTTAAGTGTTTTTTAATAAGTATAAAATTATAATTTTTCAATATGAAACCTATTTCTTCCTTCTTGGTTAGAAATTCAGTCAGCTAATAAATGGTAGGTAAGCATCTAGAGTTGGATTAGGGAAAATTAATTCAACACATAGAAAATTAAATACATATATATCATATATGTGTGTACTTACTAGTATATGCGTATACATATGTATTATATATTCATAAGAAAGTAGTATACTAGAGTATGTACGTAATTTAAATGATTAAAAAGGTTATATATCCACATATATAACGCACACGCCTTATTTTTACACGAGTACAAAAACATACAGAGATTGTACTCTGTAGTACAAGGATCCCCTACCAGTCGATTTAAAAAAAAATAAATATATAATTAGGTCGTAATAAAAATTAATTTTACCATTACCTATCAATCGATCACGATAGCCGGTATAAATTAAATATTGTTGTCAGTTGTCAATTTAACAGTCATATGCTGTATAATATGTTCCGTATACTTTCGTGTTTACGTTCAGATAGTTTATTTAAAATATAAAATTTTAACAATAATAAAATTATACAAATAAAAAGTGTAAAATTTATCATTTCAATCAGGAATTCTCGTCCCGTTAGAGTTTTTTTTTTTTTTTTTTTTGTAGATATTTAAAACGAGTGCATATGTTTATTAGGCCAAGATAATTTTTCTATTTGCAAATGTGGAAACTTAAAAAGACAGTAATGAACTAAACATTATGTATTAATTGAAATAATGTTTACAGATTTTTTACATTTAATTTATTAAAATTAACTTTAAAAAAAAAAAAAAAAGTATAGGTTCCGTAATTAAATATTTTTTAATTTTTCTGATAAACTTATTGTACAACTAGAGATACACGTTTAAAATAAATTCTAATGATCTTTTATTGTTCTCATCAAATAAATTTTCCTCTTTTCTAAATGTGGATCACCAGACTTAAAATTTTGTATGTAGCTCACTTGTTTGAAAAAGTTGGTGACCTCTGCAGTTGTATATAGGTAGGTACTATAGTCACTATAGTACCAGTAGTACCTAACGACTAACGAGTTATTTTACTTTTTCTTACCTATATATATATACATGTTAAATTGTAATAAATACTTAAGTTTGGTACTCAAAGTATTAATATTAAATACAATAAAATAATTATGATAATATTTATACATATACATATCACATTTGTGTAAGTTTTATAAATGTAAGTAATAAAATGTTATTTTATTAATTAAATTATATAAAGACATTTAATAATTGTATCTAATGGGACTTGTAAGTACCGGTAATTTTTAAAATCTTTTAAAAATATCTCATTTTTGGGCAAGAAAATTATGGCCACACCACTACTTAACTAGAATATATTAAATAAGTATATAATTTTTAATAAACCATAAAAAATATGACTATTAGTTAGAGATTGACTTCTTTTATTAAATTACAATCTAGAGTATTCAGTATAACTACTCAAAAAGTCATAAATTAATTTTAAATACTGGTCTAAAATTGTCTTCCCGACATAAAAAAAAGAAAAGTTTTTAGAAAATATATCAAAGATAATGAAAATTTATTTTTAAACTTGTTATATTTCCCAAAGTACGTATAAATTATAAATATTAATGAATATGAAAGTAGGTAGGTAAAAAGAGTTTTTTTCTGTTAGGTAGTATCTACTTTCATAAACCTGATTGGGAAACATATCAAACTAAGATTTTATAATTTTAGTGAAAATGAACAAATCAAATTAAGTTATTAAATAAATACTACACTTTAAAATTATTTTACTTGTACCATTGATTATAAAATAAACTGATACATCTGTTGAGTAAGCTGAATAAAAACTTACATAATTATGTTCACAGTTAAATGCATTTAACAAAAAAATATAATTATAGTAGAAACACAACTATATTATTTTATTTAGTCATCAAAATAGTGATTGAGTACTTTACGTAAATACTTGGTTGAGTTTTTATTCTTAACATGATTAATACAATATAATTTGTTTTATTTTTTTGTTTTACATTTTTATCATTTTTATTTTACATTTAATCAAGGAGTATTTTTATAAAATTAAAATTAAACATTACGGCATAAATAAAGATTTTTTTTATTGTAAATATTTAGTTAATTTACTGAATCTATTATTAAGTAAAATACTGCCACATAAAATAGTTTTTACTGAATCATTACATTGAAAAGTTAATTTTTTGTAATAAAAAAAAAAAATTATTATTTTGGTACTTATCGGGTTGCTTACCGCGTAACGTATTATTAATTGTGACAAACCACCGATAGTATAGTACTAAGAATATACAGGAACAGGATTATCGCTGTTTCAGTTACTGCCACAAATCTGTCTGAGGCAGAGGTATTCAAGCTGTACTCTTAGGGACGTCACATGAGTTGGTGAAGGGAGCTGTGGCAAAAAACCGGAAAATAAAATTAATGTACCTAATAATGTAGCAACTCTGGAAACGATAATGAAACACGCACGACCAGTTGAACATGTATCAATATGTGTATAAATATAAATACCTATATATACATATATATATATATAGTTTATATATTGTCAAGTATCTTCGTTAAATATAAAAAAAAAAATAAAAAAATAAAAAATAACTTTTAATCGCGATTTGTGTTCGTCGACTAACTATATCGTTGTGTAAAAAAAGAAATAAGAATAGTTTTTTCTAAACTAAAACCAAGATTTGAACATAATATTATGAAACATAACAACCTCAGCCGTCTCATTAAATATTAATTCATATTTATTACCATAAAATATTTCATTTCATGTTTTTTATATTACCTATTTATTTGTAAATTGATTTATACAATCATATGATAAATAAATAAATATTAATGTATTATAATAATTTACATCCATAATATTATAACCATTGTTTTTTTTTTCATAATTAATTTGAAAGCCGTCAAAATATTGTGAAGATAAAAAGGAGCCGTGGGATGAAAAATTTTGAATGTCTCTGAACTAGGAATATGTTTTATTTGTTATCAATACTAATAACATAATACCTATTCATTCATACAACGTTTCCTATCGGCAGCTATTATAAATTAAATATTAATTACTGGAAATCCCTATACTATTGCCTATCTGTCGATTCTATAATCAATGCTTGTATCCAAGCCCGGATTAATGGGGGAGCACGGTCCAAAGGCCCATTGATTTTGGAAGCCCATCTTTATTTTCATATAAACATATATTTTTAATGTGTCTAAAAAGTTAAAAAAAAAAATATTGTAGTAAGTACAGTAGATAATTAATGCTTATAAAATAAAAATGTTCTTAATTTTATATTACGAAAAATTACTAAATGATAATAAATATTAAATTGTTATTCTAATAATTGATAGTAATCAATTGTAGTAATAATCATGGACGTAGCTAGGATTTCAATCAGGGGGAGGGGGGGACAAATTAAAACAAGATTATAAAAATGCCAATAATAAATATATTAATAATTTAAAGTAAAATAAAAAAAAAAACCGATAAGGTAATAAAATAAATAAAAAAAAAACAATTTTGTACGTATAATTATATTAATGACAATTGTCTAGGATCTTCACAAAATCTACTTAGAATTGTCTGTTGTAGCTCTTCCTTCTTTTCATATATCAGCTTTCTATGCACGCTAAGTATGAAGAGACCTAAAATAATTTACATTATATATAATTAATACAATTTTCATTGATATGAAAAAAAGTTAATTTAATTTACCATTTAGACCATTTTCTTTTTTTTGGAGCTAAAAAATTTAAATTAGAGTCTAGATAAATTTTAGTCGATGCATAAGAAACTGCAGTTAATAAGATTATACATAATATGTAAAAGATTGCATTATATTTGTATTATTTATTGTTGTAATATAAGATAATATTATGTACTGTACTTACCACCAAAAAACTTCCGTTTGTCCATCGTGTACAATATAATATAAAATTTAAACGTTATTCGTTTATAACCTAACCTAACCTAGGGTTTACGCTAACACAGAATAGCATGCACTGTTGCACTATATTATTAGCAGTATGCGTTTTGAAAAAGTGATTGTAATAAAATTCTATAATATCGACATTATCGCTGTCAGTTTGAGTAAAAGTTGATATTAATGTATAAAGTACAAAACGATTAGCGTTAAAACTCTTAATTCAAATAATCTACACATAGACCAATCGATAAAATATAAAATGATTATACGTGTAGATTACACTTGGTCCCACTAAACTATTTTTAGACTTGAATGTTCTTATATCGCATTTAATTTTTCAATTTTCATGTAAAACTTAATTATTACAAATTAAAAAAAAAAATTGTTTTAATTCAATTTGAGGCGCAGGGGTGGGCAAGTGCGCCCCTGCCCCACCCTCGCTATGCCCATGGTAATAATTAATAATAGGTATTCTTAATCTATTCGCATGAGGTGCCCAATTATAATAAAAATAAAAATGAATTGTTCGGCTGAAAGAGCATTTCCTAAATTAACAAGAATAAAAAATAAACATAAAACAAGTCAAACTAAGAAAAATTTAACATCATTAATTACATTATATTTAGTAATGATAATATACAGTTTTTAAAATGTAGTGATACAATGATTTTTAAGTTAAAGTTGAAAAGGGGTCCACTAAATTTATGGTGTCCTGGGCCTCAATCGATCCTTAATCTGGGTCTACTTGTACCAACATATCTAAAAAAAAGTTTTTTTTAGTTCGCTTATAATTCATGCAATTTATTCTTATATTATAATTTAAATTTATAAATATTTAGAAGTGACATTGATATATATTGAATTTGGTGAGGACAATTATAAATTAATTACAATAATCGTCCATCCTGTTTAATTAAATACAAATTTCAAATTTCAATGCTCTAAAAAAAAAAAGAAACAAACAATATGGCTTAAAATTTTTTCTTAAAGACAATTTATGCTCCCTTTTAAGTTTTTATTTGAAGCATGTACCTATAATTTACAACAAATGAAAAAAAAAATTAGTTTCTACCTTTCTAATTTAACAATATATTGTGAAGATTTAGTATGATGAGATTATTTTTGATATCTCCTTAAAAGAATAATTACAATAAAAATTCAAAAGTAACTAACATAATACTATAAGCATTTAAAGGTTTAACTATTAAGATTCTGAATGTAACAATAATTGTATTTATTTTACAATGATGTATTTTGAGCGTGTTTGTGTATGATATTTATTGCTCATTATAATTTCCAAAAATAAAAATGTTTGGATTTTCAAATTTAATATAAGGAAAAATTTGAAATTTTTACACGAAACTTTAGATTGTCGGAATCGATATTTCTATTATACGTAATAATATAATTGAAAAACGTATAACTGTAGATATATCAAATAATTGAAAATTTCAAAACATAAATGTATGTATTAGCTTTTTTTATTTTATAGTATAACTAATATAAATGTTTATTCTGGAACCAAAAAATTTAAAAAACATTTAAGCACAATATTTGTTTTATAAATATTTAAAACTTGAATTTGATTGAAAAAAATTAAAAATTTTTTTATTTGTTCGTAATTCAAAAATACTACTTACAGAGACTTTCGATATTGTTATGAGTAAATTAGATTTACACATATCACATTCACATTTTCAAAACATATAAATTAATTTTAAGTTTCATTGCATATTTATACCTCGATTTACAACCTTTTCACATCGTCCTATAGTAAGGCGAAATTAGTTTGAAAGTTAACAATAATGATAAATTACATAAAATATAAATATAGAATTATTATAATGATTCTTAATTATATATGTATGATATAAAATGTGCAATATTTTCAGTATAAATTAAACCAACCTACTATAATAGTAAAATAAATAACTTTAAAAGTATTATCAAAAACCTTATCATATAAAAAAAATTTAACATAATATAAATCATAAAATAATCCAATATCATACAGTACATATGAAAGAATATACTTTGTAATAAAGGTTAACTTAAATCAACGTTGATTAGAACCACTCTGTGTATGCAATGATTTATAATTAAATTCAAAATTAACACTTAGGTACTTCATACAATGACTTACTTAATAACGTGGTGTTCTCGACATCTATATGACCTATTGCAGATAGTAGATACAGCAGAATGGTTATATAATTTTTTTCTTTTTTTATTATATTGATATATGTTTTGTTTTTATCTCGTCAAAAACCTTGATAATTTAATGCAAGGTAATTGTTTTAGAAGCTGATAAATATTGAAAAAAAATAAAACTATTTTGATAAATTTATTTATATAGCCAACTTAACTTACTGGTTTTTGAGTATTACCTAAAATGCATAACTAACTTCAAGTAACACAAATTTACACTTCCTGATTATTGAAATTTGAAACAAGAGTAACTTATTAATATTAATTCAACATAGTAGGAGAAGAAGTAAATAAATAGCATTGTTTGAGGCCCGGACACACAGTTCTGACATCAGTTGACTACAGTCAAGGACCATTGCCATCTAAGTGGTCACGTCATCATGAAAAATATTCTAATAATATTCACAATTTTTATTTTTTCTTCATCTTTAACTCTTAGTCAATTGTATCAGTCAAATTATGGACAATATCAACAACAAGAAATTCCATTCAGAGAAAACAATTTTATAGATAATAGACCGATACTTCGTGAGTATGATTTCATTGTAATTGGAGCCGGTCCAGGAGGCTGTGTCGTTGCAAACCGTTTATCCGAAAATCAAAATTGGTCGGTACTATTACTAGAAGCCGGTCAAGATGAATCTACTTACACAGATATACCAGCGGCGTTACTATTTTTAGATACAACGGATTATAATTGGGGTTATATTGCCGAACCAGCAAAAAATGGTTGTTTTGGTTTTAAAAACAATCGTTGTCCATGGCCAAAAGGAAAAGGTATGGGAGGTTCATCAATAATAAATGCCCTGATTTACACAAGAGGAAAAAAAGAAGATTACGATACAATTGCAGCATTGGGAAATGACGGTTGGGCTTACAATGATGTATTACCTTATTTTTTGAAATCTGAGAACAATTCTATACCAGAATATCAAAACTCACCATTCCATTCACAAAAAGGAAATCTACACGTTGAACGAGTAAGATATCATTCAACGCGCGTTGATAAATTTATAGAAGCTGGTGGAGAATTAGGATTAAAAAAAAATATTGATTATACAATTGATCCTGAACATGGAGTATCCCGTTTCCAAGTCGCAACTCTAAATGGACATCGAGTAAATATATTTATTATTTATGAATTAAATTAATATACGTCTAATAAGAAACCAGTTTTTGGGTTCTATGAAAAATAGATAAATAAAATTTAAAGAATCAATTCTGAACAACCAAATCACGTTTTGATAAAAAAAATTTTTATTATTTATTCATTAAATGTTTTGTAATTGTTTATATAACCCACCAAATAAACCTAGCACTATTTTTCATCAATTTATTAAAAACTATTTTTTTCAACTTAGTTTGATAAAAATTTAATTTTTGTAGTACTTGTAGTAAATTGCTTTGATACCCAAAACACCAAACTATTTTATATTTAAACATAATTAACAATATTTAAAAGTGAAATTGAAATTTAGTTTTTATTTATATTATTGTATATTAATCATTTTTTTAAGAACTTCAAAAAATATTATTTTATTATTAATTTTAAATTAGTGAATAACTCTGTATATTTTATTGCGTAGGTTAGTGCGTCTAAAGCCTTTATTCGACCAGTCAAAAATCGTCAAAATCTTCATGTGGCAATTCTTAGCCAAGCAACAAGAATAATCATTGATCCAAAAACTAAAAAAACAATTGGGGTGGAGTTTATTAAAAATGGAAAAATTAGAACAGTATATTCTAAAAAAGAAGTAATTCTATCTGCTGGGCCCATTAATTCCCCAAAATTATTGATGTTATCGGGTATTGGACCAAAATATGACTTAAAGAATCATGGTATACCAGTAATCCAAGATTTACCAGTTGGAAAAACTTTACTTGACCACTATGGCACATTTGGTATGTTAATTTCAAGTTTCAAGCAATAATAATTATATAATTTTTAGAGTTTAAAAACTAATTTTTTTTTTTTATATCTATTTAGAAACTTAATGAGATTCTATCCTTGCAATTTTGTTTTACTTTAATTAGGTGTCGAGTGAATAACTGTAATCGTTGTATTAAATTTGAATTCAATGATATACCATATTATACCTATATACAAAAAAGATATTTAAATAACTATATTTTATGATTTATTAATTTATACTACTATCGAAGAAATTTATTTCAATATTAGTATTTCTGTAGGTTGAATAACTTTTAGTATTTCCTTATTATTAGCGTTGAATTATTTAAATATTATATATTTTCATATTTTAATATCACTATCATTATATTTTTGAGTTTATGTTACCTTACTGTAAAACAATGAACATGTTCAAAGTATGAATAAATAGCATTTAAGATTAATCTCAATATTTTTAAAAAGTCATTGAATATAGTGAAATATCTAATATACCTATTTATAATATATTAAGTCTCCGCGTATAATGTTTTGGAATTAAACAAAATAATCAATATTCATTTTTAAAACATGTAATTTTTTTCAAGTTTGAACTTCAAATATAATACCTATCAATCACAAATAATTTAAATCATACAACTTATAAAAATTTAATAGTTTTGGAATGATATAATAATGTATTGTATTAAATTTTCATATCTAAGTTATAAAAATTAAAGATTTCATAACTTTTTGTAATTTTGACAAATTTTGTAAGAATTTGAAATTCAAATGTATGTAAAAAGAAATTGTGTTAATGTATTTTTATATTTTTTTATGGAGATAAGAACTTATTATGAGGTATCTTGTACTCGATTTTCAAAAATTTGACCTACCTAGGCAATAATTTACTATCGTCATTTATAAAAAAAAAAAAATTCAAATATCTACAAATAATTCGAAAAGATACAAAATATTTAAAAAATTATACTAAGCATAGGAAATTCAAACATAAATATTTGGTGAACATATTTTGAAATATTTTTGGTTATCGAAAGTATTTTATTTTTATTTTTATGATTTTAAAATTGAACACAATTTTTTTGTTTGCCATTAGTTTTCTACTAAACCAAAATAAAAGTAACCAGATAGACACATGTATTTTTTATAATTATATGAAGTTTAAATTTGTTGGATATTATAGATATTCATTCGTAACTGGCTTTTTTCGAAATTATTTTATCAAATACTAATTTTGTTCAAATAATTACTGATTCTCCTTAGTTTAGTTTTTATTATTTCAGAGTATTTTAAAAAATACAAGAAGATTTTTACTTTTATTTCAAAAGTGAAACTAAATTTAATTTTTTGTCAGAAACCTCCTTCAAACTTTAAAATCGAAGCATATTTATTACTTCTAAAGCTAATGATCGACTGGAAAAAACACTCTTCATTGTAAAATCAATATATTTATGACTCCATTCAAAATCTAAAACTAATTTAAATGTAAGAAAATCGTTTGTCAGTGAATATTAACATTGTGAACATAACTAGGTAGCAGTTACTACTTCAGTATTCTAATAAATTTAATTAAATATTTTTTAATTTTTGATTTATTGTTGTAATGAGTTAAGTGTATAGTGAACCCAATATAATATACATTAAAATCACTTCTTTTCTTACTGCTGAGACTATTATTTAAAAATTGTAAATTTTTAAAATAACGTTGACACTTAACTAGAATTATTATAAATTTAAAAATGTACTAAATAATATTTTATAATAAATAATTTTTTTTTTAATACTATAGCTTTAAAATTTGAAGTAAATCAAACTGGACCAGTAATAACGAAAGCTGCTATATCAGACAAACATTTATTTGAAGAATGGTTCAAATATGGCCGAGGACCATTAACAGCACCAGCAGGAGCAGACGGTTTAGGTTATGTAAGGGCACCATCTGGCAAAGGGGTCGAATTAATATTTGGTCCCATATCAGATGAACCAAATATGTTTTTTATTGCAACTCTCCTGTTACAACCAGACGCTCGTGGAAACGTGACTTTGAAAAACAATAACCCATTAGATCCGCCCATTATGTCCTATGGTTATTATGAAAACAATACTACTGATTTAGAAGACAATGTTTTTGCACTTAAATATGCAGTTAAATTAGTAGAAGAAACACAGGCATTTAAAGATATCGCAGCTAAACTAAGTCCAATACCATACCCAAAATGTACGCATATACCATTTAAATCTGACGATTATTGGGTTTGTCTATCACAACACCTGACAAATACCTGGCATCATCAATGTAGTACATGCAGGATGGGGGATGTTGTCAACAATAAATTACAAGTCATTGGTATTCAAGGATTAAGAGTAGTAGACAGTTCAGTACTTCCATATATTCCGCATGGACATACATATGCCCCAACTTTAATGATTGGTGAAAAGGGAGCAGATATGATTCGAAGCTTTTGGTCAAAGTAATTTATTTGAATAAAATATTTATTTTCACAGTTAAGTTATGATTATTTATTTTATTTATTATAATGTTATCCTTTATTTATTCTTGTATATATTATATTCTATCAGTAATTTTATAGTCGTGCTTATATAATTATCAATTTTTTGATTTTCAATTATCAAACTTGATGTTTATTTAACAAGTAACAATAGTTTTTTCATGATAAATAAATAAAGTTAATAATATGTAAATAATTTTATTTTTTAATTATGCATTTTATGTCAACATCATCTTAAATAAAATGAGAAAAGTAAGTAACCACTTTACTTAATAGTAGAAGTTGAATGTACCACATCATTTAATAGTTGGTCACTTTGATGGATGTGTTAAATTTAAATTCAATTAATCATTATCAGTGAAAAATAACTCCGAACGAAGATTATCTGTTAACTTATATTACTAAGTAAATATGTATACAAATAATTTCTTAATTTTTTTTTTTTTTTTGATATTAAAGTAGGTAATTTATTTTACTGTTACGATAGGTTGATTTGGTTTTTTTCCAGAAACATTAATTTTATTTATTTTATAATAATAATATCTGTTTTTTTCTATTTTCTATTTATGATATTAAATAATTAACTTTTGAGTAAATATTGACTTATCGTAGAAATATAGATTCTTGCTTTCATGCTTTAAATAGGTAATAATATCATAAAATTTGAAATTTCGACAAGGTTAAAATAAAAATTTTGTAGTTAGAAATTTATATAATTTTTTTTTTTCTATACCTAAGATTTAAAAATTTAAAACAAGGGTCTGTATACAATTTTTAACCTATGTAAAAAAATCTATCGAAAAGCCAAATTAATTTTTTTTGAATATTTGAAGTTTTAATTTTTACGACATTGGATATTTACTCATAAAATAATTATTTACCTTCAAACAAATTTTGATATTTTGTTGTATAAAAAAAAAAAAAAATTGTAGTACTTATGTACTTTAAACTTTCCCTAAATTTTTACACTAAAATAGACATTTTTTTACTTTATATCTTCTCTATAGCTAGTATGTATATTTTCATTTTTAAGATATATTTGTCTAAAATTTATGTAGACGTACCAGGGTAAGCATTAAATACTAAGTAGGCATTTAAGACTTGTGAGTATTGATTTGATTGCTAAATTTGGCATTGATTGTATCTGATGAGATATTGAAAAGGAGAAGGTCTTAACTCTATATATATGTAAAATTAATCTTCATATATTTAAGTTTAAATTAAGGTAACAAATTATAAAATTGTAGTTGCAATTAATTGTAAAATATGGGCATTGATTTTTACGAAACTAATTTAAATATAATAATTGTTTTGTTGTATAGGTAAGTGCAACCAAAGCATTTATGCATTTAACAAAAATCTTCAAACCTTCAATAGCAATATTCAGTCAAGTAACAAAAATACTCATTGATCTAAAAACTTAAAAACAATCGAGGAGGAGTTTATTAAAAAAAAAAAAATGGAACAATTTATTCTTAAAAAGAAGATATTTTATCTGATGGGTCAATAAATTCACCACAATTATTAATGCTATCAGGTATTGAACCAAAAGACAAATTTATTTTTCAAAAAGAGAAAAAATGAGTGTTAGTGGTTGTACTGTTAACTTTTACGAATTCCTTTTTCAAGATAAAAGGAAGTATAACCTTAGTCGATTACAATGTGAGAACCATCAGCCATTAATAGACATTTATAATTCCGATTACTATAGAATTTTTATAAAAATTGTTTTTATGACTTTTTAGCTGATATGAAAAAGACGTTTCACAACTGACTGAAACAATATAGCTATTGACAACACTATAAGAAGTGGAATGACAAATGTATGAAATTAATTTGTATTTTACATTTATGATGTAGGTCGCATATTGGACCGTTAATTAAGCTCGGTTCTGACTCGAAAAATTATATCAGATCCTTATTTATTTGTTGAATGACTTAAGTATGATCAAGGACCACTCACCAATCCAAAAGGAAGATAATGTAATATATTTAGGATCGCCAGCAGGTAAAGATCGTGAACTTATATTAAGATTTAAGGCCAATAATGGAGGAACCAAATGCTTTCTACATTAATACATTCTTGTTACAACCTGTCGCTCGCGGGAAAGCGCGTAACTCTAAAAAACAATAACTCAATATATACAAATAGTCAATAGATACGCATTCATATTAACAGAAGAGCTGTTTTTTTATAACAGTACATATGTCGATACAAAAGTATGTGCTGTTTATACAATTATTGAATATTTATTACATACTTGACAAAAGAAACTATCAACAACCCAAAGCGCCATTATATTTTATGGATTACCTACTTATATAAATATAAAAATGTATTACTTATCCACTCGTCATTTAACCATGTACCATTTTATTAGTTCCAAGTCAGTTCTCCTGACCAAGTGGTGCGTAGAAAGTAATAACTATACCTAACACTTTGTACAACTGTTCTGTAGGTTATAACCTAGCTGATCCATTTGACTTTACCATTCAAAAGATCAACAAAATAACCGTTTAAAAGTTAGTTTTGATTCATAAATATACTATTTAATCAAGCCGTGAACGGACCTTATAAAATGTTAAATACTATTATGGAATGTAGGTATGTTTAACTAGTAAACAAGTAACTGTGTAAAAATGTTTGTGATTTGTATCATTTTATTGTATTGTGTTATTTATAATTTATCGACATTAAAAAGTTCTATAATTTACCGTACGATATTTTATACTTAACTGGTAAACTGGTAAATTGTATAAAATGTTGATATTTCTTGGTTATATTTATTTAGTAGGAGAAACAGAATAAATTTTCATGATTTTAAACAACTACTTACCTAGCGCAAGTTTATTATAAACAGTGGAAAGTTTGACCTACATAAAACAGTATTGCTTAGTTGTGGTTTGAAAGGTACTGCAGATAAAATTATTATTAATGGACTAGTACTTATGTATGCAGATTTTTATGTTTAATTTGTCATGATATCAGATCTTTCAATATTTGTTTACATATCGAATACGCGCATAGTTGATTTATGGGCCTGTGTGAACAAGGAACAATGCCCTTCGGGGAAAACAATTTCTTAGATAGTCGGTTTATTTCGCGTGAGTACGATTTTATTGTCATTGGCGCAGGTCTGGGACTCTATAGAAAGCTGTGTGGTCGCAAATTGATAATCTGAAAATCCAAATTAGTCAGTACTAGTGCTGGAAGCAGGACAAGATGAATCCATACACTCAGACATACATAAATATGGCACACAGTCTTTACTAGTAACATCGAGCACCTATAGTAAATACATTTGGGGATACAACACATAGCCAATAAAAAAACGGTTTTCTCGGTTTTAAGAGTAAACGTTGTTCTTGGTTAATAGGAACAGACATATAAGAGTCATCGATAATTAATGCTTTGTTTTAAATGAGGGGGAAAAACAATTTTAACATTGGGTAACTCTGCATGGACTTATAAAGATATATTGCCATATTTTTTTTAAATCTGAAAATAATTCTGTACCAGGATATCAAAACTCACCGTTTCATTCGCAAAAAGTATACTTCCATATTGAACGAGTCCGTTATCACTCACCATTCGCGTTGACATTTTTATTGAAGCAGACGGTGAACTAGGATAAAAAAATAAATATTAACTATATAGCTGATCCGGAGTATGGAGTTTTTCGTATACAAGTTACAATTATAAATGAACGCTGAGTAAATATATATTTTAGTAAGCATTTTTATTTTTTTCATTTTATTTGAAAAATGAACAATAGCGTATTAACTACATTAAGCAGGCTCCAACATCGGACGATTGCGAGTTTACATTAATACGAGTACATTACAAAAAATAAACATATCATTTAAAATTAAACGCTTAAATATAATAAGTACTAACCTAACCTAATATACTTATAGTTCCAAGTAGATATAGACACATTTGATTGTTTAATTCATCGTTTCTCAACCTTTTTAGTGTCGTGACCCCCAAAATAAGTATAAAATATGGCCAATCACTTCGCGACCCCCTCTTTATATTAGGTAAAAATTTGAACAGTTAATATATCCTATCATTAATAAACAAAATATAACATTTTAAAAATCAATTTTTAATTTTTTTCCAAGATAATGAGACATAACTATTTTTGGCTTATTTGAGTAAATATATTTTCACATTTGAATGACTTGAATATAAGCTTATAAAGCCGTGAAAAGAACATTCTAATAATGTCAGATAAAGTTAATGCTTTTATCAAAAAACTTGGTATTTGGATCATTCGTCTCGAAAAACGAAATTTTGATGCATTTGATTTAATATCAAATTACATTGAAAAAAATGTAAACATACAAAGTCCTATTCTTGGTCGTGTTTTGGATACCATGAAAACATATTTAAGATAATTGAAAATTCAATTATTCGAATATTTCTCATGTAACGACAATGACTTCTTAAATAGATGGGTTTTTAATTAATTTGATGAAAATATTGTTGCAGTTGCCAAATTACCAGTTGAGACTCACAACCAACTGATAGAATTATTAGCTGATAAAACTTTACAGCTACAATTTGCATCTCGAGATTTAAAAAAGTTTTGGATTATCCAGAAAAATGAATATGGAAGTTTGGTAACAGAGGCATTGAAAATGTTGATTCCGTTCGCTACTTCTTATTTGTGCGAAAAAGGATTCTCATCCATGGTGGCAATAAAAACTAAGTACAGAAATCGTTTGTTATCACTATACAATAACTTACTTTTATCTTTATGTGTTTCAGATGTTGAACCACAAATTAAGTAACTTTTAAATTTAAAACAAATTCAAAGATCACACTAATTATTTATTTTATTATGTATATTAATTTTATATGTATATCCTTATCGAGATAATTTTATTATTATTATTTTAATTTTTTTTTTTTCAATAAAAAGTCTGAAATATTTAAATAAAAAGGTACATTTTGTAAATTAGCGTTTTGTTATGTTTGACCTACGCGACCACAAGTTAAGGTGTCGCGACCTCCTGGTTGAGAAACGCTGGTTTAATGTATTGTGGAAATCCAATATATATGTACCTACTTATATTTAAACATTTTTACAAAGTATTAATACCTACTTTTAATATTCAAAATAAATTTTCGTGAAGTGGGTACTTTATATTTACTATAAGTCTATAATATAAGTTTTAAAATAAATATTGTTTTATTTTATCTATATTTTTTTTAAATAAATAAAATAAAAAACAATTGAGTGCTTGGAAATATTAATATATAATATTAATGTTAGGTTTCGAAGTATAAACCTATCATCTAAGTAACATAAAAATATTGCATATTTGTAAATAAAATTTCTTCGAAGTAAATAAAAATAATATAGTGAATGGTAGAGAAGTGGCGTTTTAGAAAAAGGTACCTACCGGCTACCAACAATTAAATAAGTGTAAAAGAACATCGGAAAATAGTAATATACTGTTATCTAACTAATTTAACAGTTATTCATTATTATTAATTCTATTTAATAATATTATATTATTGCTTACCTTCTTTTTTTTAAATACCTACAAGAGTAAACTCGACAAAATATAATGGACAGTGGTTATAAAATAAATAGGCAATAAACTCATAACTATTAACTGACAAGTTCAAATTTTTTTACTAATAACTAATAAGTAATGACGATTCTTATCAAGTCTTAATCAATAATCAGTCTTGTATTAATATTTATTAATTATTTTAATTACACGACACTACTACCAATAGGCAATATTGTCATATTTTGTCAATTTCTATTTTATACGGAATAAGTAGGTAATACGTAATAAGTAACATTATTTTTAGAACAAATATCCGTATTGACCGTATTAATTAATAGGTAACTATTATTAGATAAAGAAACCGATAACCGATCGTACGCCGCGTTGATAACACCACTGGGCCTTTGAATACTGTTGAAACAGGATTTTTTTTATATATTGATTAAACGTATCTAAATAAAAATAAAAATGATTATTTTCCAAAAAAAAAAAATTTTTTCTTCTAATTTTCTGAAAACTTCAGATTTTATCGAAAATGTATTATTTGAATATTCTTCAATTTTTCCATATTTTCTGGGGCTTTGGGAAAAAAATAATCAGTTTTTTCCGAAATTTTTCCGAATTTTCCCGAAAACTTTCCGGCATTTTGATCTCTAGACTTATTACTACAATAATAACGATTTCAAAGATAATACATATTATGCATTATTGAAGTATGCTGTATAAATGGTAGGAGAAATACAGCATTTAAAGATGTGGTCGCTAAACTGAATTCAGTGCCATAACGTCCGTAACTGTAAATGATAGTTTACCGTTTGGCGATTATTATTTATTGGACTTGTTTATTAAAAACATTTGATACACACTTATCATCAACAATGTGATACAATGATACATGCCGGATGGGATACATTTTCAACAATAAATTATAAGTATTTGGAATTCAAGTACTACGAATAGTGAACTCTTCGATACTTCCAGATATTCCAAACACACGTCTTTATGGCCCTACTCTACTGTAATGGTAAGCAAAAAGAAGTATATATAATTTTAAGTAATAAGTCAAAGTAATTTTTTGAGTAATATTACTTATTTTTTTAAATTAAAATGTAATAACCAATAAACCTATCTACTATAAGCATTTTTATCATTTTGTACTTATAAAAATGATATTCTGAAAGCTTTGTCTTTTCTATAATGGGTGTTTGAGTATTTCACATTTGTACCTATACCTGCAATTATTATTAATACCCTTTCATGATTTAAAAGTATCAATGTTATCTGGAATATAATTTTATGTTGTTTTTTAAATTATATATATATAACAAATTCATTAGGTATAGAGAATTTAATAAATTTAGTAAAAGAAGAAATTTACAAATAAAATAAAAATAAATAAAAAGTTTTCATGTAACTAGTACAAGATTGTTCTTCTTTGAGATACATTACTTACTCATAAATTATTTTATTATATACTATTACAACATACATTTTTTGTTAGAAAATTCAACAATTTAATAGAAGTCAATTTTATTTTATTTATTTTTCTTATCCAAAATTAAATCATTTTAATCATTTATAGTACAATTCTTTATAATTAAGTATATATTTTTATGAATTTTAAGAATTATTAATTCTCCTCAAAAATAATTTCCTTTAAAATTAAATATTTATTATTTAAATCTTTGATTTTCAACTGTTGTGTTGTTAAAAGTATTAATTAATTTATATTATTCATTATTAATGAAGTAAATCTAATAATTTTTATAGAATTAAATTTGTTAACTATTCTTTTCAAAAATCCATTAATTGTTTTGAGTATATAGCTTTTTATTTAGTTTTAAGTTAAAAGTTTTTGTTATGAAATAAAGATTACGATTTAAGAACCACTAAATTTTAAACAATTATGTGTCATATTCAAAGTGACTTATTAATTTTAATTAATAAGTTTTCATTTTATTTTGAATCAATTCAATTTAACTACAATGTTGGGGTAAAATTAAAGTGATTATTATGATAATATTTGTCAATCAGCTATAATAAAAGAATAAATATTTTACAGTACAAAATATTGTATAATCATTTTTAGTTGGAAGTAAGATATTATTCTTATAAGTCGGACAATATGCATGGCAATACAGATTAAATACTTAATTATATAATGAGAAAGCAAAATTAAACAATTAATAAATAGTTTCAATATTATTTTACACTTTTGGCATCTGTTTCATCATCTAAATGTTGATAGAGTTTTGCAAATAAATTACCATTTCTCTTTTGGATAGATTTTAATCTACCAGCAAATTGAGGTCGCGATGAAGGGTTAAGTCTACGATTGTCTTGATCCTGAACTATCTGCAAATACATAACACTGTTTGGATCAGCATCAACTGTTTTATGTGCTATATTATGTTTTATTCCTGTCTGTTGAGTTAATGGTGGGGACATAGGTGAATCAGTAGTAGCTCGTATTACACTCGGCCTATCAGCCAAAGATTTTTTGAAACGTATTAAAGTTTTCTCAATGATCTTTTCTTCATCAAGTTTACCACGGCATTCAAATAAACATTGCAATACCTTGCAGTGATTCTCAGTGTATAAATTTGATTTTAAGAATGTTTCCAACTCTGCCCACATAGACTTGTATTGGTCATCTTTTTTCATCATTTTTCGTGGATTTGATAGACTAGGTGTAATGAGGTGTTCATTCTTAGACTCAGCTGCCATTAAAGCATAAATACATTGTTTGCAATTCATTACTTCCTGATCACTTAAGTTATCCTTAACCATTAATGACAACATTGGTTCAGAGTATTGTTTCAAATTAAATATTATAGTTGACGATGTTATAAGTGGCCAGTATGCAGTTTGTTTTTTCAATTTTTCTTTTGCATCTTCAATATAGTTTTTATCTTCTGTTTGTTTTCTTTTTGCTGGTTGCAGTAAATTTAATTTCATGAAATTACCAAAATCAGCTATTCTATACTGAGTTACTTTCCCTCCTGGACCTTCACTAATAGCTGGTGGATCTTCAAGTACTGTACGGCCAGATGATACTGTATGTATATATATTTCACCATTGTACGATTTTAGAACATGTGACATGCTCTTACCACCACCTTGTTTAATCATCTCTAGTAAAACTGACCGACCATTTAGTAAAAATGTGATTAAACATGCGCTCGGTCTGCTGTTAATATCAACTGGAGTGATTCTATGTAATGTCGTACAACTATGAATATCTGGCAAGTTGTTATTAGCCCTAGGCGTACACCATTTTAATTTAATTGTTTCATAGTCTGCTCCTTCTTTTTTTGCAACCACTGCTTTAGCATCAGCTACATTTGCATTTAAAATAGTTGTATGTGCGGTAGCTGCATGATATATTTCTACATCATAGTTTGCTGATGAACTGGCATTTTGTTCTTCCTTCATGGGAATACCAGTAACTGTTGTACTAGCTAAATTGTAGTGTTTCAATAAAAGATTTGATATTTTAATACTGATTTTTGATGCAGGAATTGAATGTACTTCCAAATCTAATATTGGTGATATGGTATGAGATGGACGATCAGTGACTTCACATGTAATAGAATCTGGATATGTGTTAATTATTACTAAGTGACAATGATGAATAGGCATTGAACTAGGTTGAGATGCATATTTGTTGCTTTTGATCATTTCATTATGAAACATGGACATGAGATTATCTATTGACGGGTTATCCCTGGCTGATGTGATAATAATTGTTCTGCACCTGAAATAAGATAAAATAAGATAGGTATAACATGAATATTATTACTTATTACAGTAATTATTCTCTAACACGTTTTATCAGTTCAAAAAAATAAATACACATTTTCAGTAATTTATCAAAACATTATCAAGCAATAATTTAATTTATAAACTACTAGAGTTGAATATAATTAATATCATATTAAACATAACACATTGCTTAACTACTGTTCAAACAATTTTTAAGTATTATAATATATCAATAATTAATTATTATTAAATTTATAAAGAATTGAAGATAGATGGCATCTTTATGAAATGTTATACGTGATTATTCTGAATACTAATTCCTTGGTATTAATAAACTAGACATTTATTTTCTAATATACTATGCATTATTTATTTATTTTAATAAATAAGTTAAGTACTTTTTATATTAGTAAAAGAGTTACATTAGTTTTGAATATTTATTTAAACATTTAAATTTAGGTATAATTAGTGTGGAAAAAATAATGATTAACAAACTATTCTTTCTAGCTTAACTTTTAATACTACACTGGTATTTAGAAAAAGTACTTTTTATTTAAGGAACTATAAACTTAAAATTCAAGTTAATTATTATAGTACATGGGTAGTTGATAACAAAAAAAAAAAAAATACCATTCCTTTCCTTTAAGCATTGAAAGTTTGTTGATATGAACATTAGAATTCAATTAAGTAAATAATAATAATAATAATAATAAATTAATTAAATATGTTATATAAAATATATTTTCCAAGTCTTATGTAATGTGTACCTGCAGTCATATATACAATTATAATTTAAAAATTTAAAATATCTAAAACAAATTACTTGTTTTGAACTTCAATATTATTTTTCTTAGCTCCTTGATCCATTTGTGCTGTAGTACATTCAATCATTGCTTCGGCTGCAGTACGAAATCCGTACACAACACTGTAGTCTCGAGTTGGGTTTGGTACAAGTTTAGCAGGAGGCCCTAAACACGACAAATGATGCAGCATATAGTTAACATTTTGTTGACTAGATGACCAATTATTTAAGTTGCGAGATTGCATATCGCTACTAATAACACGTATGAGTTTCCCTTCTGGAAACAGATCCCATACGATGCGGCAGTATTCGAGTACAGCTTCAATGCTACAAGTCCACATTGATTTGAATATAGGCGCGGGTGATATTCCTCCGGATGGCCGTTTGGTGAAGTCCATTTTGATATGTGAATTACTAGCCAATCCAAAGTATGGAGTATGGTCCACAACAAATGTGGTTTTATGATTAGCTGGGAATAATTGATCCATTAAGCTCATATTTATGCACTGAAAATATTGTTTTATTAGATAATAAAATTTAACTTAAATTAATTTTCCTAAATTAGGAATGTATATCGAATACATCACTAAACGGTTAATATAAAAGACATAAAACAGCTCGAAGTATTTTTGTAGTTTTATAACTTCAAACTTGTTAGTTGTTTCTAATCGCTAGAAAAAGGTAGTGCATTTATTCAGTTATCAGTTTATCACGAATCATGCCGGGATATTATATGTTATCAATTGTTTACATAATAATAATGACAAATAATATTTTTATTATCTTTTGAGCATGCCCAACTTGATTTTACGACATTTGATCCCCAGTAGTCAATAATTATCAAATTTAGATTTATTATAATCACGGAATTAGATATATCATAGACCGTGGTTTTCACCCTAACTTAATATAAGTACAAGACATTATTTTTTCATACATAGTTATTATTAAACAGTGGAGGCTCGTATCCCACCTTCAAAATTGAAAGAAAGAAGAAAGATTTAAAATTGAGTAGGTTGTATTTCTTCCATTATTATATAGTTGGTATATTATTAAAAAATATTATCGAAAAAAAATTGTTATCAAATACGGGTGTACAATACGTACATAGTACATAGAATATTATATGGGCACAATTGTATTGTACCCGGATTCTATTTTTATTACGATTTACGAAATTTTTTCGGTCTCATCGTCTTCGTATTGCTATTGTCGACCGTCTTCCGTGGCACAGTCTTTATATTTTAATAATATGTAATAATAATCTGTCATTTTTTGTTCACTTTCTGTTCGTTGTTTATTTTATCAAACGATTTAAACTTTTTTTTTTTACTATTTAGAGCATATTGTGGTGTTTAATCATCATTAGTGGTAAGTTCAAAGTTATGATATTGGAAAATGAGGGAAATATTTGTGCCTTACCTTCAATGAACCACACGAGCCTCCACTGATAGTTA